AGAGAGAGAGAGATAGAGTAGTTTAAGAAACTCATCTCTGGTATCAGTGCAAGTGCCGCAGCACTATCAGCAATACAGAGTGAATTCACATAGGGATTTTAACTGTCAAGATAATGACATTCTAAGAACAAGATAATAATCAACACGAAAATTCACAGTAAAGCAGATCAAGACTGATAGGAAGCATCGCGCTATTTCACTTCTAGAACAGAAGCATAGTTAAGTTTAGGTAATTCCGCTTCATATGCTTCATTATGTGAGACACAGAAAAAGACGATTTTTAATAAAACAATAAACCATGATTTTCCTCCAGTAGCCAAAAAAAACAAAAAAAATTACTAAAATAAATTATAGGTCTCTTTTCAGCTTAATTAAAGTACGAAACTTAAGCCAATGCATATTATTAAAGTATCCCAGCTTAATAAATAATACAATTAAATTAAGATAGTCAGGTTAAAATATAAATAAAATCAGTGACTTTTCGAAAAGACTGAGGATGCAGATGCAGAGAAGTTTGCCTAATAGGTAAGTGTGTAGACAAGATAGAGCAGGATTAATAAAATTTAGTACAATGATCAGAGTATGAAGGTAAATATAGAAAGTAACGAAAAGTGACATTATGGGATGTCAAATAAATGATTCTGGTTTTTAAAGGAAAATAAACACATCTGGAAATGGCAGATTATTCCAGACCCTAAATGCATGGCTAAATATTCGTAGCCACAGTCAAAAATCAACATTTATTAAAATTGGCACTAAACGACTCGTTGGAAACGTCTATTATCCTAAATAAATTGCATTTCCCAAATACTAAAGATTGACAAGTATTACCACAAGTTAATGTCTGCGAACTATGGCTATTTCTTTGACCTTGTTTTCTCAGCTTAGTCATATTGTTGAGAGGATCTAGAGGAACGCACCTAGTCCGGAGTCCATAGTATGCATAATAATTTCCAGTCGGACCGTGGATGTAGTACATTCCCAGACATTTCGCCAGCATCGTCAGTGAGCCTTGCCATTCTTAGCACCACACTACAACTCGTCAAAGAGACAAGTGAAGTCGATCCTTTGAGCAATTGTCTGCTAAACAGTTGTGGTATTTCTCCTTTTGTCCTGGGCTATTCACCTATCCTATACCTAAGTACCATACTTTCACTATCAAAATTTATTAAATGTATCTAAACCTATTTGAAACCTAATCACACTCCCAGCTGGTTTCCACATCCACGAGTGTTGATCCAAGGCTGCAGTTTAATCCGAAATCCTGTCGCTTCGGGTCCCAGCAGAGTCCCTCTTTTGCTCTTTATAATCCTTCCCTTATCTGCCTGTTTCAGTGATTTCCCGACATCACTTCACCTGTATCCATGCTATTAAAGGCGTTATGTTCTAGACTCTGTCTCAAGCCTTTGATAGCACTTATGCACCAATCTCACTGAGCAAGTCCCTGAAGTCTGGATTCTTATTTGGCATGGCAACTTAATTTGACGCTACAGCTTCCCTTATCGCTGTGCGGCATGTGAACCGAGTAAATCTCGTGGTCAGGTCTTTACTTCATGGACCACGTCTATGAATTAACGTATCTACCAATAGCCAACTAGAGACGGCCACCACCGTTTCTTTCGCTCTTCAATCCCTAATGCCAAGTCTATGACTTTCTTTTGCGTGCTGACTCCAAAATATGATGGTTCTACTTGATTTGAATAGATTCACTGTAGACATCTTCTCTTGATTTCCGATTGTTCCTCTCTGGTCATCTTTTAATTCCTTTTCCCAAAATGAAAAATATTACCTTTGTACAGACGTCTTCCTTTTGCTAATATTGCTGTCCCCTGATCTCCTCTGGGTTTGTTTAGACAATAAGCAAAGTTTTCGCTAATCCTGCCTTCTTCAAGTCTCCTGTTCATTAGATTTATTTCAGTCAGGATATCGATGGCTTCTTGTATATTGCGTTTTCTTGTATTTCTATCATATGCAGCCAGTTTTTCTAACGATTTGCACTCGAGTTCATGTCCCGTCCGTGCGATGTGTTCAGCTATTTCGGATCTTTCAGTGTCCATGTTCTTGCAGTCTTTGGAGTTCCTTGATTTGCAGGCTGATTTTTCTTCCTGTTTCACCAATATTCTTCTGCTCACAGTCGGCGCATTTGATGCTATAGACTCCCAAGCAATCAAGTTTGTCAACCTTACCGGGTTGCGTCGGCGGACTTGTCAAGAGTGATGTGTTTTTTTTAATCACATTGATATAACATTTTCTTAACAATTTCTGGCTCAGTTCACAAAGGGACAGGCATAACCAGTTTTTGTCATCCTCTCGATTATGATCTTATTTTCATAGAACTATAGCTGAAATCTGCTCCTTATGACCTCTATATTTGTTTCTATAAATTCTATGGGGTACCAGTTACTAAAGCATATCCGAGCTCCTGATGATCATACTACTCATTATTCCGACCTTCAGTCTGTAGTTGTGATGAGACAGGAAATTAAGGACTATTCTCGCATGTGATTTCTTCCTGCATAGTCTCCTCTTGAGTATTTCGTTGGAGCGAATGACCTCAACATCCATGAAAGGTAGTCGTTTATCCTCCTCGACCTCTATTGTGAATTTAATTCTTCCATCACGTTGGTTTATAAAATTGAGGAACTCATTCAAATTTTTCTTACCATGCGACCAAAGTGCAAAGTAGTCGTCCAGGTATCGCATTGGCGCTCTTGGTTGAAGCGGTGACTTCTCGAATTCCTTCTCCAATCTGTCCATGTATACATTTGTCAAAGGAGGTGAGTGAATATCCCATCGGTAGTCCAGATATTTGCTCATAGATATTGCCGCAGAATGAAAAATGTGTGGTACTTATTGTCAAGTTGATTAGTCGTCTTAACGACTCCTGCCGTATCCACTCTGCTTCCAGGATATCCCCCTCTAGTTCCAAGACCTCCAGCAGGGCAGTGATTGCCTTCTCACCTGAGATCTTTGTACACATGGATTGTACGTCAAAGCTAAACAGCATTTCCGGCCCTGCCAGTCCAATATTTTGTATCCTTTGAGAAAATTCATATGGAATAGGTGCGTTCTTCTAGGTTTTCCTACCAATATGGCCAAGTAGCGAAAACAAGGCCAAACAACTTCTGTACAACAAAAGAAGATCGCGACCATACAAAAGACTACACCATCCTAGTCTCCATACTTAAGGATATTTTCATTTAATAATTACTTTAAAAGACTAGTAGAATAGACTCAATAAAATAGTTAATAGGCAAAATGTGAACTGAAAATAAATTGTTGAAAGCTTCACACAATATAACAGTTGGAAATATTCAAACAACCAAAATAAGCCAATGGAAATCAAAAATTTAGCAGGTGCCCATATTTATGTAGGAAGAAAACTAGTAGAACTGTAAACTTTGCGACAAATAGCCC